GAAGAGGAAAGTGAATGAGGGCAAGGAGAGAGAGAGAGAGGAGGAGGGGAAAGAAACTGGAGAACAAATTATTCTCATAGAACCTATATCTCCCATTGATCCTCAATGAAGGGATGCCAGGCAAGGAAGAAAGTCCAACAGTCGAGCTCCTACCAGCCCCAAACACATAGGGTAGTCACCGGTACAGTTGGCAACAGATGTTCGTCGTTGAGGAAATTGGCAAAAAGTAATTGGGTAAGGGTTGGAAAGATGAAGGACGGGAGACGGAAATAAGGGGCATATGTGGCTCTGACTGAGACAAACAGGCGTCAAAGAAATTGAGGGTAGATTGCTGATGAGCTGATGTAACCTGAGGCTCGATAGTTTCTGGAATAGTACCAAAGACATGACGTCATAAAAATGGACCAAGACAAAAGTTCTGTAGATATGGAGAGGGTAAACTGACCTGGGCCATTACAGTGCCCCTACCAATAAGGTCCCAACAGCAAAGAAATCACGTGTGTAATGCCAGACCCGAGGAAGAAATGTGGGCTAATGTAGAGAAGAGAATGTGCAGGGTATCTGCAGAAAAGCCCTCAGGATTTCTGTGGAGTGCCTCACAGGGAAGATGTATGGAAGGGTGGTTATGGTAAGACAAAGGCAAGAACATTCGACATGGGTAAGACTAACGTTATAATCGGGAGTCGTCCCCCAAAGAGGTAACAATAAACCCAATGGATAGTCAGCACGATGGTAAGAAAGGCCGTGCTAATCCGAGGGCCTCAGCCCTCACGTTATTCAGAGACAAAGTGATCAGCGTGTACCCAAATATCTTGGGTTGGAGGAAAAACCCAAAATGGTTGAGAAGAGGTTTCATGTAATGAAAAAGGTCGAGGGGAAAGGGATAAAACATCACAAACCTGAGACACAAATTCCGTGAAAACCGAACTAGGCTTAGATAATTCCTCAGGTACAAAGTGGGAAGAAATGGCAAACTCTGGAGGTGGGAAAAGACTATCAGGAGGAGCCTGAGTGATGTGAGGGGACAAAAGTTGCCTCATGTAGTATTCAATCTCCCAATGTATAAAAGCAGAAAGATCTACCATTGGGTCATCCACACCTGAGGCCTGAGAAACAACATTAGTTGTTGGTGTGACTCCAGAAGTAGTAATGTGAACTTCGGAATTCATAATGTAAAACATAACTCACAAGTGATCAAGTTTTTGCTGAAATAGATAGCGACAAATTCAAGTGGTTTATAGTAGAAAAGAAATTAAAAGTTAAACTCTAAAAGAAACTACATTTGGTGAAAAAATATGTTCCGTCACCACACACAAAAAAAGTCTGAATTCGAATGCTGCTAAACAAGAAGTGAAGGATTGGTAGGAGTCAAATGCGTCACGTGAGCATGTCACGCTGCTATTGTTTAAGAAATGGCGCATGATGATTTGCATGAGAGACATGTTGGAACATGGTATTTCCAACAAAGGAGGTGTGCAAGGCTTGTGGCATGCGTTATGTATATATATAGGGCAGCACTGAATGAGAACAGCTAATCTTGTGAGAGTAGGTGAGTACCGTATCAGAACCAAAGTTTTACTTTCTGCAGAAATTCTATTGCATTGGAAATCAAGAGCTTTCACAATAGTACATTTTAAAGTTATAGTAAGATTTAGCCATTTTTATTGGTATAATGTTTTATATTTCTCTACTGGTTTGCATAAGGCCCATATTAACTTGTGTAAGCAATATAAAGATTTTCTATGCATTGTCTTGGTAAAAATAACAAGCCATTATATCATAATGATATACAATAACAAGGAGCTCATACTGTATTAAACTTTGCTCAATTCCATTAAGGTAGTGAGACAGAAAAATTTGTTACCATTCTCTATTGCTTAGTAAGTTTTGTTTAAAGTTGTTCTAATATGTGATGAACTATTGACCAGTCAGGCAGAATGAAGTTTATAAGTTGATTCCTGTAAAAAGTGACTAAAATTGTTACAAGTGTTACATTTTGTGATCAAATTAGGATGAATCCAAAGGGCATTCTCAAAATTCTACATGAAACTTAAATATGCATAGAAATTTAAGTCAGAATTAACTCAAATGATTGGCTTCTTAATGGATTAATGGAATATTTTAAAACAAGCTGAATTTACAATATTTTATACTTATCCTTTGAGATCTGTTAACTTATGTTACTCCAAATCACTAATAACAACATAAAATGTGTTGTGATCTACAAACTGTTGAGTATGTTACATTAAAATAATTTTAGTTTCATCACGTAATTATAGTACACGTCTGATCATTATCTATCTGATGACCATGCATCTTGACAATAGCCCCATTATGCAGTTTCTATTGCAAAAGGCTCTGTAATAAGGCTGCCATGTTCAAATCATACTTCTCCTCCCTGTAGCTTTCCATAATCCATCCAGAGTATGAAGATAATGGTTTCCCAGTGCCTATTTCAACATTTTAATTGCACAGAAATTTATTGGCACTATGACTGGCAACCAGACCTGTATGTCTTCAAATATAATAGCATGAATACCTATTTCAGTCTCCACCTGCTTGAGGTAAGCAACACTTGAATTGATATGTTGTAGAAGCTACTTGTTTACACAACTTGTGTTGTTTTTGCAGATTCTTCTCGATTATGTTTATAGTGTTGCCTGGGGCAAATGAATAGTAGCTTTTGCTATTCACATATATGTTCTTGGAATCTCTTCTGATACAAAACACCTCACAATACCATTAAGCACAAATGATATTCCCATCTTGAAAATTATAAACCCCCATTCTCAGCACAACCTTTTGATAAGAATGTATGAATATTTTGCATCAGAAAAGGTTCTTACATACCTTTCCAAAAAATGATCAATTTTCAGTGGCATCACACTACCTTAGAAACACAAAATATGTCAAAATGTAATTCTGATATATGCCATACAACCAACACTTTTTATCAGCTGTGGTTGTCATCTGACTTTCTGATTTGCACATACAAAACGGATTTATTATAAAGTATTCAACCTTCTGTATATGGTGACTTGCATATATAAACAACTACAGAATCAGATTAGCACATGCAATTAGACTCAGACATGAAATGAACCAACAAAGTTTTTAATTTAAAGTTTTACAAACACATTAGTTGTTAAAGTAACTTGCATTGTTACATTTTATACACATTAGTTGTATCTATAATAAACAGTGGGTTAATACTTAACTTTTACCACTTATACCCTGTATTAAAAGTGATTGGATAGGTTAGCTTTCATTTAGACTAGTGTGTTAAGGGTAGAACAGTTTTTTTCTTCATCTATACAACTGTTCAAAGAAAAACAAATATTTTTTTATTTACCAATTAATGACAAAAAAAGCAAGCATATGGTAAGAATTAGCCAGAGAAACACGTATATTATTTTGTACAGTGTTGTGGATGATATCAACTGGCAGCAACATCTCATTTTTATTAGAAGTATGGGATAATAGCAAATACACTGAGATAAAGTTTTTGTATATTCTTACCAAAACATATTAATATCTCTTAGATACAGAGCTGACTGAATGTGACAGCTTGATGTTCGATGACATGTGCTGACAATCACAAAAGGAAAACTACATTTCCATAAACTAACTGAGTCACAGCCAATTATCTTTAACCCTTACTCTTCAAAGACACCCTCCTTTTAAAATCAATGCATGTAACTGTCATTATAACTATGTCAACAACAAACCTACAGCCTTAGGTCCTTGCTGATCTGTATTGGCTGGCTAAAAAAAAATAAAGATTGTCTGATTGGTTGGCTGCATAGTGTCTTTCCATTACTCATTATGAACCCAATTTCAGTGAGGAAATGATACATATGCATTTTTATACAGTTAGTTGCACCAAATACCATTTAAATGGCTTCCATTTATTTTCCTGTGGCACACTAACTAATTAAAAGCATAAGAATACTTTTCAAATCGATGTCAATAAACTTGAAAACTATGATAATAAGAATCATAAATAAAACAAGCAATAAAACACATAACTTGAAGGGTAAAAAACAAAATCCTTCTGGTAGTGTCCCGTCTTTCTACATTATTAAAACTGATTACTAAGAGAGATTTCACACTTTGAAATTCTGGCACACATTGGTAAGAAGTATTAAAACTAAATTAATTTACAAATCACCAATTTGGGGCTGCCCAATTGAGCATCTTCATTGCCACCTCAAACCCTAAGAAACAGGCCTGAAATTAAAGAAAATATCAGATGTGATTTTACAGTTATATAATATACAAATAAATTATGTATTAGTAAAGAAGCAAAATTTTTAATAAAATTACCAACTTCTAAGTAAAGAAATCATAAAAATAAATATTGCTTTCAATATATTATAATTCATCAACATTTGAGAAACTCTCATGGGTTTATGTCAGTATTTGCACTTTTATGTAAAAAGTACAAGCTACAGCTTTTATAGTAAGGAAGAATATTCAGGTACAATGTTGTGATCGCTAGTGTGATCATTCTAAAGTGTAACAGTGATTGAAATGTTGTACCTGTTTAAAAAAATATTCTTTCTTACTGTAAAAGATCTAACTTGTAACAAAACAAATATAATAAAAAATTTTACATTTCATAAAAACAAGTAGGGATTGATATATATACACAGTGTGGTCACAAGTAAATAGACACCACCTTTTAAGAAAAAATGAAATTTTTCAGTCATATTCACATGAATTGATATATTTATAATTTAATTAACATCTAGTAGATTTTTCTTTCGCTTCGTGGAGGTTGTTGATCCTTTAGGGCATTGTGAGAATCATCTTGTCAATTTTAGATTGTGGTATTTTCGCCCACTCTTGCTTCAAAACTTGGAGTAGATCCCTCTTCAAAGTTGGTTTTTTTATTGTTTCTTGACTTGCCGGTCGAGTATGGCCCAGAGGTTTTCGATC